GGCGGCGCTGAAAGGACTTTCCAGGCCACAGTCCATGAATAATCTAAGGAAGGAGAGGAGCAAGCAGGAAACTTAAAATTACAGATCAATTTTGACAGGGGTATGACAGATCAGGTTAATTAAGTACACAGCAACGCTGTCGGGAGAGCAAAACGGGTTCCTTCTTTTGCAGAGTTAATACTGCAGATCCAGCCTTGTCAGCAGCAACTGCGAGACACCAGCAGCTGCCAACTCTTTGTCTCAGGGCAATTAGCTAATTGGTGGCTCTGCTAGGTTGATCAGGAACTGCCTCCGTGCAAGACAAGCCCTGGCTCTGCTGCAGCCCTGCCAGCCCTGGAGCCACCATCTTCCTAAAAAACAACCCTCAGGCAGTCACGGCATCAGTCCTGGGGACGGGACAGCCCGATTCACTGCTCGCAGCACCAGGTGGATCCTCCTGCAGTACCACGGGCTCAGGTTCAGCTCTCAGCCCTCTGATCCCTGAAGTTCTCCTTCCAGCCTGAGAGGAGGTATTAAATCAGCACTAAAAAGCTCAGCAGCATCTAACTGTACCCATGGCTCTTGCATAATTCAGCAGAGAGCAACAGAAAATTCACCCCTGCTGTATCCCCATGCCCAGCCTCCCCCGTAGCATCTCTCTCCATTATTTCTCCACATCACTCAGGGATAGAGAACTGCCGACAGCAAGGCAGCGAGCTGCCACTCCTGCTATCGCCGGAGAGGGAAAGCAGATTCAATCCTAGATGCCTATCGGCACAACACAGGAAATGTTGACGTGCAGCTGTGCCACCCGTCTCTGCTCCTGACGGATGACGCCTGCACGGGTGCCACTGACAAAGCCCGAACACTCATGAACTTCATCCTCCTCTTTGCACAAACTGTAACTCACTCGGGCAGCAGCTGCAAGCTGGAGCAATGGGTGTTCTGCCACCTGAAAGGTGCCGACTGATGCTGCCAGATACTCTACGCAAGGAGAAAGGAGCAACTCTGAAATGACTTCATCCAGGTGAGAGCACTTCGCACTCAAGTACAAGTGTGCAGCTTGCCCAGAACAAGATGTGACAAAATCATTTGCAGGGAGACCAGGGCAAATGCCATGAGTGGGATGTTGTCACGAGTGACCTACCAGCTTCCCTGCTGGCCGGGGGTCTGTGCATTAAAACGATGAGCAGGAAGTGCACAGCTGCTGCATGTGACAACAGAAGATCCGCTCTTCGTGCGTCTTCCGACTTCCCTGCTGTACCTTGGTCAGCTGCACAGCTCGTGTTTGGACTGCCAGTGCCTCTCACAGCCACGAACACATCAACCCTGCAACAACCCCTCAGCATGAGCCAGTAGGTGACACACAGGACACTCAAGTCAGGCTGCACACAGGCTGTGGGCTCACCCTGCTGTCGCACGCCTTATTTCTCATTATTCATCCTATAAATGAGTTTGCACCTTCCTACTCCTTTTGCTCTTCCTTACAGGACACAGATACTCTGCCTACAAACCGCAAAGACGAAAGTACCACTGCGAGGGCTCCCTCCCCCTCCCATCGCAGCGACTCCCCATTAATAGGAAGGATGGTTGCCAATGAGCACGGCTTTGTTAAGCACCTGGGCTGCACCAGAGCAGGGCCCTACACAGTTATATCCAAGGGACCATTAAAACTGCAGCACCACGTGAAGAATTGCGGTGGGAGAAGGGTAACGGAGGGCTCCACATCTGCATTTCAAACTTCCCACCCCCAGTCAGTAACTACTGCTCTCCAGGATGCAGATGCTGTGGAAGAGGATGGAGTATCTTGAATTCGCTTGCAGATGGGAATGTGCCAGTCACACTCAGCTGCAGTCACTTTCAAACAGATTTCAGACAAGCGTCACTCCTGGCACAAAGCACTGCAGGATGGGAGAGCTGCCACACAGCTCGCGTCTCTGCAGCTTCCAAGAACTGACTCCTCTCCCTCCCCATCTCCCTTATTAAAGGGTATGGCTGCTGTCAGAGAAGCCGCGATCTCTGTGACGCACCTTCTGCAGGTACCGTCTTATGGGCTGGGGATGTCACAACCCATCTCCCAGCTAACGTGACTTGCAAAACCTCTCAGAGGGCAGCGGCTGATTTGCTCACACACTACACCCATTTGCTCTGATGTGTGAGGGGAAAACACCCACTTTTCAGGAGGGAAGCACTAAGTCACACAGGTGTTAAGCTCTACGTCCCCTGGACCCGCACTGACAAAAGTCTACACTCCAGTGATTTGGGTCCCTTATGACACAGAGCAGGACTCTGGTGGGGTTTAGGCATCGCTTCTGGGAGCACCACGGTATTCGAGTGTGAGTCCATGTTTTTTCCCAAACTAGCTCTAAGTGCCACTGAGATGATGTTCCCTCTCCAGTACTCCACACAGCCCATTCCCTGCTTAAAAACCACATCCAGCCAATGGCATTTTACAAAACATTTTGACTTCAAGAAACATCCATTTTGCATCACCTCCATCATGCCTGGCTTTCAAAACCTGCTGCTTGCTCCTTCACTAGCACAGGTTGCCCAGAGAAGCTGTGGATGCCTCATCCCTGGAAGTGTCCAAGGCCAGGTTGGACAGGGCTTGGAGCAGCCTGGACTGGTGAGAGGTGTCCCTGCAGGGGGGTTGGAACTAGATGAGCTTTAAGGTCGCTTCCAACCCAAACCCTTCTACGATTCTTCGATTCACAGGCATTGCTGCAAGCTCAACATCTTCAGTACGATGTGGGGGCGGCATGGTCCAAACAGCCCCTCTCTCTGCTCCCCATCCTCCCCGTGACTGCACATCCCGGCACAGGGAACCACAACCAGCAGCCGCTTGCATCAAGACCTTTGAGCTATAATAGCGTTTTACACCCCCGGACAGGTCTGAGCCCGGGTCTGGTACCAGAGGAGCAGCCACAAGAGGGACAGCGTGAACCACCGCAGGCACCCAGAGACACCCCACTGAAGGGGAGGAGGCTCAGGCCCTCGGTTACCATCGCTGTTACAAGCGCTTTAAAGACAAAGGAAAATCCTGACAGCAGTGGGGAACACCAGTGCATTTAAGCTCTTTATAAAATTAAATCATGCCTTCAATAAAGGCAAAACACAATAGGAGATGCATAATCTCCAGAAGCTTAAATCCATAAAATACCATCAGCAAAGCTGCTGTGACTGATAAACTCCCGAAGGGCAAACAGAGCAGGGATACGTGAGCAAAGCCATTTGGCCACGGCCTTTTCTCTGAGCAGCCTCCCAGACTACTCCAGGCAGGCGAGGGCTGAAGGAGCCCATGGCAGGACCACAGCTACACCCAACAGAGATCTGGGGGACAGGTGCAAAGGTGTTCAGCCATCCCAAGCTAATACAATTCCTGGTTTCAGGGATTGTTTTTTTCCCCTTAGATAAAACAGTGCTTACAGATCTACCGTGCCAAAGACTGAAGACTTCCATTCCCAGTTGAGAAAGACTTACCTTCCTTTGACCACCACTACAGTTACAGGGGAGAACATGCCTACCTCTGAGTCCGATATGGAGACCCGATTTGACTCTATCGTTGGTCTCCTCATTATACGCGGCGATGGCCCTGTGGCATAAGGACCATAACCTGGAGTGTTGCTAGAAGCCAAATAACCTCCCGACGATCTTTCCTGAAGAGACAACTTCCTATTTGACAGGACTGGTCTAGCAAGAGGTCTCTTGGGACCATGCCTCCAGTGAGCATCTTCTGACTGTTGGGAAGGCAGAAATTCATTCATTCCCACGTCACTGCTGACTCCGTTTCTTTGGATATCTTTTGCATTATCAGAAAAGACGGCGTCATTTTCTTCAGCGTTGTCTTCACCGTTTTGGTCACTTCTGTCTGGGCCAACAGCCACATCGATGGCTGCTACTCGCTCCGCCAGTTCAGTCTGCGTGTCCTTGCAGCACGTGTCTGTGCCTCCATCCACGGCATCCGTCGGAGAGTCCCCCATTGCTGCATCCAGCTCGCGGGGTCTCAGATGGCACTGCAGGGAGCTGGGAGGCTGGCACTCACAGACAGCATGTGGCGTGAAGGGATCTCTCCATGAAATACCTAAAACAGAACACACACAGAGGCAAACTGAATAATAACGTTCACTCAACACGAATATAACCAAGATACCCATCTCTGGCTTCGTCCAACATAAAAGAAAGCAAAAGCAAAACACCGGCAGGCCACAAACAAGTTGCAACCACTCAGAAGGAAAGGCAGACCCAAGCACTGAGACAGATATGGAAGTGATAAAGCTGAGATTTTATCTGATGTGCAATGAGCGACACAGCTAAAGAGAACTTCTCCCTCCGTAGCCAGGCCAACAGTCAAGCAGAGCTTACAACAGAGAGAGAAGTACAGCTCCTTGATAAGCTGAGGCTAAAAGGTTAAACTTTTGACCTCTTGAATTTTTATTTATAGGGTACCAGAGCTTCTGGTAAGTATCCAAACCCAACAAGCGTAACAAATCCACAGCCCTGCAGGCCCTGGAGAGCGCCACAGAAGGGCCAGGAAGAGGCGCCATGGCTGGCGGCTTCCACATTCAGCTGCAACACAGTCAACAGCAAAGGCAGAATTCAAAAGCAAGTCTGGTTCCAGCGTCCCTGCCCACCCCCAGCTGCAGCCGGCGTGCAAACACACGTCAACCTTGCTGCCCACCGTGCATAAAAGTTGTATGGAGTTGCCAGTCAACACCACTTAGTGATTACCAGCATGTGGGAATCGGCTTTTCCTTTGGGAAAGCCCTACAGAACACCAGAACGCAATAAAAATCTAAAGCTGCTGAATAAAAATAAATAAATAAATGAACATGCTGTTTCCTGGGTGCTAATTTCAGTTCCAATTTAAAAAGAGATCTCAGTCTTCCCAGCACAGTCCAGAGCCAGAAACCATCCTCTGCAGCACACGGCTGTCACCCCTTAATCACCTCAGGAGACGCAATGCTGCAGGATGCATCATCTTATCCCTCTGCCCAGTTCCTGGGGACAACGGGAGAAAGTTTCACTCAAAGCATCCTGAACCGTCCAGTGAATTTCTGTGTAAGCTTAACTCTGAAACATCGCAACCTTTGCACGTAGAGAACTACATGCAAAGCAGGTTGTGCATAAAGATCCCTGCAAGCCAGGCAACATGTGCACCACCCTGTTTCGATTTAATTTACATGAGGAAGGGTGGGGGTGAGCAAGTTCAAAAAGCCCCATCCAAACCCCCGACATCCTCATCGAGGAGCACAGAGCAAAGATCGAGCCTGGCCTGAAGCTGCCCAGCGATACTCGCTTAAATGTTCTGCAGCTGCAAAGAGAGAAGATCTCGAGTGCCCTGCAGAAGCACAGCAAGTGAACTCCAGCAAACTTTTTACACCTACAAGGAAACTGGAGAAAGATCTGGACGGGAGATTTCACCCCAGGTCAGTCATGGGGGGCACTCAGTGCCACAGAAGGGAAACATCCAAATCCAACACGTTCCTCGCCGCAGCCTGCCGGCACCCCCTTCCCCACCCAGGTACCATCCTCTCCTCTTCTCCCGCCTTTTCCTCAGCCTTGTTTGAAACAAACAGGAAGAAGCGTCATCACTCAAGACACTAACGAAACAGTGAGCTCAGCTTTAAAAGCTTCAGTTAAAACTGTATTTAAACCCTTCAATCCCAACACACAAAACCCTTTCGGAGCCAGGATGCTCATAGCAGCGAGGGAAGGGCTGCAGGGTTGGGTCCAGCACGTTGTGCCACAAACCTACAAAGGAGCATGAAACTCCCCTCTGCTAGACCACCCCGTTCTCCCGAACCCCCCCAAACCAGGCTTCGAGCTAGAAAGCCAGCTGCAGCCCTGCGCTGACTCAGCAACGAGCTCGTCCCTCGAAACGGAGTCACAGGAAGCCCGAGGAGGCTGCCAAACGCTCCGGCGAGGTTTGCACTCCGGAGAGCTTCTGGAGCGGTGGCTCACCTCACCGCCAGCGACCATTAAGAGGAAAAACTAACGTGCAGCTGAAGCCTGCAGCTCCCCAACTTTCTTTGCTGCCGTGAGGTTTCCCCACATGCAACCGGAGCGAAGCATCTCCCCATGTGGCTGCACAGCTGGGAAAGCCCACACATCACCCACCTGGGCTGAACATTTGGGCATCTCACACTGCCAGGAAAACAACAAAGCCAGAAGCGCGGGGAACAGCGGCCGAGTCCCAGCAAACAGCAATGCTTGTGTGACATCTTCACGGCCCAGACCGGGCACCCTGAGGTGTCACCCCCTCAAAAGCAGAAAGACACTTACACAGCTCTAACCCACAGCTCAGGCTGCAGACTGAGTCTTCAGCTGATTGACAACTTAAATAGATAAACTGAAGATAAACCCCATAAAGCAGTTCGTCCAATCAAAACAAATAGACCCATACAGCATGACAACAGAGATAGTGCTGCCAAAAGTAGGCTAAAAAAAACCCATAAACCAGGATTTAAAAACAAAATAATCATCTGTAGAGCTGGGCTTTGTTTCAGGATCTGCTGGTTTGAAGGATTCCTTTTTGCTGATAAATCCTCCAGAAGTATATCGGAAAGTGACGGTTTCTGAATAAGCAAATCAGTTACACACAGACTGGTCATACTGCGCATAAAAACTCGGTACAAAAGGCAATTGTTTATTTCTGCAAGGCAAAAATCAATGGTGGATTTACAATTTGCCAGGCTGTAACACCACCGCACCTCGCCGCAATGGGAAATCCCAGCGAAACGGAGACGCTGCCGCTACCTTCGAGAAGCTCCCGTGCACCTTCGCTCTTCCCCAGAACACCGAACACCTGCTGTAGGTCAGAGGATTACGCTGCACACATGAACTAAAGCTGCAAACAAGCTTATATGAGCAAAATTAATTTACTTACACATATCTTATTTGCCATTTTCCCCTGTAGCTATTTCTCCACTGCAGGCAGACTGCCACTTAAACTGTTTTTCATGATACATTTATCAAACAGCCGCACACACTTCCCAGACGGGCGCCGAGTGGAGCACGGCAGAGGAATATGATTCTGGAGAAAGTCTCTCTGTAGTGTACGTGGGAGCAGGAGATGAGCTAATGCAATTAAATTTTGCTGCTCAACAAAGTATTTCAAAGCACCGTTTGAAAAAATACAAAAATTGTAACTCTAGTTTACTGCTTGGACTCTCCATTTGGCTAACTAGAAACGTTCCTACGAGAAAGGACAGGGAGGTTAAAAAGCTCCAGCTTTGTTCCCTCATTTTGCTCTGGGCTACCCAGAGAAGTGACTTTACAGCTTCATCTGTCACAGTTCCCAGGTTAAGAGGAACGACACTGCCCTCAGTCCACCTCGCCCTGCTCCCCACGGAGAACACACGTGCCCTGCACTGAGGCACCCAGGGCCTCTGCAGTAAAATAAGTCACAGAAAATAACAGTATGATGAGCATCTGCGTGGAAAGCTTTCAGACAGTGATTTTGCTGCTGCTGCCCAGAGCTGGAGACTTCTTCAAATGTCCGTGGATGGTGTCCTCTGTGCCAGGCAGGGACCTGTTTGAAAGCCACATCCATTAGGGGCCTCTTTTACCTCACAAAGCAAGATCCCAAAGATCACAGAAGGCTTTTAGCCTGCTGCTCTGATATATGCTAGCAAGGTCAGCAATCAGGTCAAGTTTTCTAAATGGTGCGTGCAGCCAGGGCAGGCAGCCTGCACAGGGCATGTCATCTCCATCACCAGCATCCTTCAGCTCAGCTCAGACCCCCCCAGGAGCTCAGTCCCGCCTGGGGACAGAGCTGGGCTGCACGTCCAGCCCTGTCTTGTATCACCCGGTGCTCGCGCTGCGGTTCCTTCGGACGATCCCCCACAGCAGCACAGCCAGGGTGAAGAATCTGCTCTGACTGCTGTCAACCGGCACTAGAAACGCCCTTTAAGGAGAGAAGAAGCAAGTCCTGGGCTGGGCTGCCAAGTCCTGAACAGCTACTCGCATGACATTTTTGAAATATTAGGTCAGTGAGTCCCTTCCAGAGCCCGAGCTGTCTCCCCACACCAAGCAATACAGCTGATGGCTATTTCCATCCTGGGTTTCTCCTCTTCTGTGGGACTTTCCCTGAGCACTCAGTATTCATCCACTACCCTGACACAAGGGAAATATTTCCACGTCCCCACCTTGACCTTTACACACGGGGGGAGGCACTTGCTCAAAATCCAGCCAGCTGACTCTGACACCTTTGGTCTGGAGAAGGTGAAGAGGAACTCGGATGTTGCTCCAGTCCGTGGCTGCGGGACGCGAGCTACCACGAGCCCCACAAGCACAAAACGGTTTTTAACATGTGGTTCTTCAGATCCGAGGAGCCAGCTACTCACGGGTCTCATTGCCGTGGTGGGAGAGCAGCCGGAGGGTTCGGTTTTGATGCAGCAATTCAAGCTGGAGCACGCTGGCCTTCCTTTCAGCTCCGCTCAACCACAGCGCAGCGAGCAGGGCTCCCGAAGGTGAGGCTGCCTCCTGCTCGCCTCCGCTTACATGGCTGTGGTGAGGAATCAGGGCCTGGAGATGCACATGAGCTTCTCGGCATCCCTGAAAGCCACTTTCAGACATTCACTGGCCAAAAAGGCAGCCCAAACCAAGCAACAGAGAATAAGAAGCTGCAGCTCCAAAAAGAAAGCAAATCCCTGTAGCCCTTGCAGGAATAATCGAGACGGAGATACACCAGACTGGCTATTTGGGCTGTGCTCTCACTGGGAAGAGGGCAATCACTTTCAGCAAAAAGATTCCCAACTAGAACCAGGAGACATTAACACATCCCAAATAATACATAAGAAAATACTGTCTTTTTTGCATTCATGCCATACATTCACTTTATCCTGCAGCTTTCAGAGCACAGACAATTGCGCCTTGCTGAGAAATAACTCGATCCTGCTATAATCACCCCAGTCCTTCTCCCTCTCCTCTCTGCAGCTCTTGGCGGTGAGCCTGGCTGTTGTGGCACAGCTCAAAATTAGATCATAAAAGTGAGGCGCCTTGATTACTTCTGTGAAGCTCCTAGCACAGCTTGAAGAGTAACAGCTGAATGACAAAGAACAGTATTTTTTCGCAATTCAA